GTCTATTCAAAATGACATATTGGATTAGTAAAAAAATTGAAATTTGAAAGACGTATTCACGTACCCTTGTTTGAAATTTGGGCTCTTTTTAACTATGTTCCGTATCCTACATTTTAAAAAATAAAAGGTTTGGCACTTGAATATGTACCTGTACCAAGTCCAAGTAGCCTGCAAAACAGAAAATAGGAAAGTGAGAGAACAAATCAAGTTGATAAAAATAGAGAGGCAATTGAAAATCGGGAGAGAGAAAATGAGAGGAAGAAACCAAAATAGGCCAATGAATGAAGAATTTGGTCAACGGTTGGGAAAAAGAAGAGAAAAGAGAGATGGAATGTAGGTGGTGATAAATGTGGATTGGATGTACAATAGGCAATTACTGGTTGTACAGATTGAGAATAATAATGCTTCGTTGATAAATAGAAGCTAAGTGAACGCTAACTTGGACTTATAGTTTTTTGAGAGAGATTATTTACATTGAAAAATGATTTTTGGAGAATGTGTGGTTATAAAGGAGGGAAAATTATGGGTTCATGTGCAAAAATTTTTTTTTGGAAGAATTTTGTGGTTGAAAATGAGTGCGCGAAAAAAATGATTTTTAAATAAATTGTGCGAAAGAAACGCATTATCAATAAGGTCTGTTCGGCTAGATTGAAGAATGCTAATGTTGGCCTTCAATATCTTCAAGAACTACGTTATACATGAGTAGAATCTGATAGGAAAATTAACGATTTTTTATCATACAAGTCAGTTCCTTAATCCCATCTAATTATATTTAATTCAGTTCCATGCATTAAATATGCAAGGCCCTATTTGAGCCACATTATTTAGAAAAAAATACATTCTTAAATAGTGATATGACATCATTTCAATTACACGTTCTTCAATAAATAATATGACACGTAAATCTAAAATTTTTCCGTATTTTTTTGACCACACATTCTCCATCAATCTACTATTTCAAAATATATTCTTCAAAAATAATGTGGCTCAAACACACCAAGTATAAAATCCTAGAGGGAACAATATCATAAAAAGATGATTAAATCAAAGATATTTATGGATGTCCAATTTTCCGTAAGATATATAATATTTTAATAGTCAGATGTTATTACATGTTATCTAATTTATTTATTTTTAATTAAATTACACTGCCACTAGACTGAATCCCTCCCCTTTGTTTGGAACATTGCTTATTTGTTATTGTTGCACTTCACCCAGTTGAATAAAAATAAGACTAGAATAAGTTACTGAATAGTAGAAATTTTCTAATTTTCTTCTATATGAAGATTGAATATAAAGATTTGTTAAGTTGGGTCTATAGTTGATGGATCCTTGGAAATAAATGATTTTATGCATATACTTCTGTTAAATTTTCAACATATCATCCTTCATGCCAATAATTTGGTTGTGCTTGGAAGCTTGTGTGATTTTATATATATATTTTTGTGTTTTTTGCTCCAAACATGTTTATATGAAAATTAGCTTGTCTTGAATATGTGGCTTTGATACTTCAGGTGAACAAGGAATGATAGATGAAGCACAGAAAGCATTGGAAGAGGCTGAAGCACTCAAGAAGGTTTAAATTTATTTATTTGAATTTCATTACAATATCCTAATATCTTTATTTCATTATTTTTGCTTTTACTATATTATTCATTTGTTTGCCTCTTTCTGTTTCAATTTATTGATGCAATTTACTTTATGCTTGACATTTGATTTCATTTTTCTGTTGTCATCAGTTGCCAGCACGCCAGGAACCTGTACAAGATTCCTCAAAATACACAGCTGCTGATGTGCGCATTGTAAGTCCAGTTTCTTATTGTTGGACTGATTTTGATTTGACAATGCGTTCACTTCCATTTCCATTTCACGTTTATTTTATTGTCTGTTTGGGCAAAATGTCGATGTACATGCTCAAACTTTTCCGTTGAGATCTATATTTTAGTCTGCAAGTTGGATGTCACCTTGTATAAAGAATTTAAAATATTCTCGCCTCTAATGGTGTCAACTGTGGTTTGAACATGAAATTTAGAGTTTGATAACATATAATTGTTGATTCTTATATAGTGATTCTTCTCTTCTGACAGACTGATCAGAAACTTCGTGTCTGTAACATTTGTGGAGCATTCTTGAGTGTTTATGACAGGTAAATGTCATGTGATTTTCTAAGATTAAACTGTACCTCAGCATTTTTAGGACGAGAAATATCTAGTTTCAAGAGTTTTGGGCACTTCATTGTTTGACCTGGCGATTATACCTCCTTGTTACCAGCAGGCTTTTGGGCCCAGTTTTACGAGGATAAACTTTTGCTGCTAAAGAATGTGCGTCATTTTTCTGTTTTATGTTTGTCAATCATGCTATCCTTAGCTAAAAATTGTGGGGCTACTTTATTACAATTTTCCTGTTCTTACGGGTCTTTTAATCTTGTTATGATCATATGTATGTTGACCTTTCAATGGTTTCCAGTGACCGCCGCTTAGCTGATCATTTTGGTGGAAAACTTCACTTAGGGTATATGCAAATTCGTGAGAAGTTAGCTGACCTCCAGGTATGACCAGATAATCAATTATTTACACTTGTTGACTTGTTACCTCCATGCCTAAGTTGGTTCTCTGAAATTTCGACTCAGATGCTGGTACGGTGTTTATTTTCTTGTTTACTGATTGTCAGTTCTTCTAGTGAGTTTTTGTTATCCTCGGAGAAGTGTATTTTTTACTCGCTAAATTCTCTGAGTAATTTCTTAAAATTTCTTTTTCACTGTTACTTGATCGATATTCATGGGAAACAGAAAGATTACAGTTGTTTCATGTAATTGTCAATTAAACTGAAAGTATTGGATGAATAAAGTTGGGTTAAATAGATATCAGGATTTGAATAGCTTCCTAAGTTTGACCTGGCTCGCAGCATGATTGAGTTGATACAGGATGCTGTCAAAGGTTTACACTTGTACTGTATGTAGTTCCATGGGGTAACATTAGTTGTGACATTCATTATGAGTTCTGTCTCATCGTATTTTGTCCTCCGAAAATTCCCCTGCCTATCTCCTTTATGATCACTAGGCAGTTATAGTGTTGCTCATTCTTGTACTTGATAAATAAAGTTATATTTCTTTTTCGGTGTATGAACAAATTCAATGAGTGCTCTATTCTCTCATGGTACTCAATATTCGCTGATACAATTCAAATATTTCTAGTAAACATTACATCAATTCAAAACAAACACGATCTTAGCACCCAAACTTGACTAGCACCCATTATGATAAGCTGCCTCATACTTCATTAACATCATGTTTCTCTTCCTTAGCATGGCTGAGTGTGTAGACTAACTATGATTTTTTTTTCTTTTTCTGTTATATTATGCATCGTACTAGTTCAGAGGTATATGTAGCTACCTTTTGCTTTTGTCGGAATTATTTTGTTGTTTGGATTTTATACTTTTTAGTATTAGTAACATGTAGCGAAAGGAAATAGATATATACTTTGAAGATGATAATACCCTAGTGGACATTCCTGGAGTGAACTCTTCTTAACTTAGTTGAAATGCAGGAGCATATTTATTTGCAACTATGTATGGAAAATTGTTTTTTCTCGTACCATTACCTATTCATTATTTGTTCTTCTAATTTATGAGAGGGAATGCTTGAGGAGATGGTAAAGTTAAGTCCACACCCTGTTCAGTGGAAGAGAGATTTTATGTGCATTTATTGTGTTTTGTGACATGTCAATTGTAATGTAGTGGAATTTTGAAATGAATTCTATCAAATGTGATTTTTTGTGATGAATTTCCAGGAAGAGAGAGACAAGAAACAAAAAGCCTATGAAGAACAAAGGAGGTTGATTTGAGTTTCTGATTTTATCATGATGGTGGCATTTTCACTTTATTTTCCCTTTACTATTGGGTGGAAAGTGTTAACTTTCTAAGTTCAATTCAGATCAAGAGAACGGGGAAGCCGAGAACGGGGAAGCCGAGAACGTGACAGGGAATCTAGCAGGGATCGTGATAGAGGTGATAGCCGTGATAGAGGAAGAGACTTTGACCGCAAGAGCAGAGATCGTGATAGGCATCGTGACCGTGACCGTGACCGTGACCGTGACCGTGATAAAGATCAATCTCACAGCTACGACTCGAGGAGTCGCTATAGGTCTCGTTCTCGGTCAAGAGAGCGCCCCAGAGATTACGATCGCCACAGGTTCTCTTTTTCGATAGCTTCTATATTTAAGTAATTTCTGTTGGCTACTAGTCCTAGATAAGGGTGTAGTCTGATAGTTATTATGTCATTTAGTAGCCAAATGCACTATTTATGGTGGTAATATTACACGACTGGATTCTAAAATTGATCATGATATCTGAATTTCACATCTAATGAAAGCATATCAATCCTTATTATCCTATTTCTGGTTCTGTTTTGTACGTTTCAAACTCTTAGAAGTACGAAGATGACTTCTCTTTATACTTAAAAGAAATGCCGACAGTGTACACTGCTTATGTATGATTGCAGTGCTTTTAAAACTCGGATCTAGATGCCAGCGTTTATGCCACATTTTTCTGTTCAGTTTACTTCCTCTCAGATATCTATATTTCTTTCTTGTTCAGAAAGAGAGATCTTTTCTTGTTTTTGTGATACTAACTTCCCTAAATGGTAGGGAGAGGTACATGATTTTCACACTTGTCCGCCTGACAGTAGAAGGATATTAGCCCTTCAATTTCTCACAAACGCCATTGAATATGTTAAAATATTGGCACTCCTTGAATTTTTGTCTTTGCGTAAAGCTCCATGTTACCCTTTGTTGCCTCAATGCCCCCAATGCCAATAAAGTAACAAAAAAAATGCATCCATTATCACCTCAATGACCCAAAATTATTATACTAGATAGTGCGCAAAGTGAATGGTCCCAACCTGTCATCTGTCTACTTTAATGTGCAAAACCCATTACCTCGTTTCTTCCATTCTTCTTTCTTAGTAAGCCACTACGACATTGTTACTCCTGTCACCGACTACCCTAGGCTTGCATGATCTGCTACTCGTCCAATTGGTTTAATACCTTATTGAGACTGATTTTACCTTTGCTCTTTCAAAGCGAGAATCCATATTTGTCTCTTGGGTGCTTACCAATCTATTGGTATTGGTATTTTCCTCTAAAGTTTGCTGCTCATCTCACCTCTCATCCTAATAACAATAGTAAGGGGAAAAAAGGATTGTGTATTTGGGGTGTGTGCGTGCTTGGTTCATGTATACGGATAATTTCCTTGCTTTCCAAACCTAATACAAGGCTTCATTTCCTCCTTTGCAGGCGTCGTTACTAGCTGGAGATTTAGAGGAGAAATCTGAATTTGTCATATGTTAATCGACTATTTAATGATATGTAGGAGGATCTTTTGTTGCTACTTTTAAATGAGTATGAGAATTCGTGCATTGCTATAAAATTGGGAAGAGAGTATTTGTATGCTAGTCTTATGCTGCCTAACTCCAGCTATCTACTGTTGCTTATTTTCCAGCTTCATTACTCAAGTTTTCTGATGTCCTGGCTGCACAAGTAAATCTTAATTTATCATAAGACAGTTCTTTAGAATTGTGTGATTTGCAAATTCTTTAATAGTATATAATTTTTCTTTTCTAGTGTTTAATCATCTTGCTTAAAAGCTTTAGCTATTAGAAATGACTACACTTAGTACTCATTTAACCTACTTTATACATACATACATACATACATATATATTATAGTGAACTGAAAAGATAAATAATGATTTTTATTTAACATTATTGTACTTTTCATTCCTAATTGTGTATCAAGCTAAGATATTTTTATGGGCTAACTGCAGTAGAAGCTTCAAACCTTTGAAATACTAGCAGACTTTCCCAAACCTTTGAATTGTTGTAGCCATCATCCCTAACCTTTCCAAATGTTGAATCTGGGGCTCTTTTGGACGGTTATCATCTAAAATTTCGTCAGTTGACCAAAAAAATTGTTTTGGCAACATTTTAACAATTTTTAAATGGGCAAAATGGTAACTTTACATCAAAATAAAAAATTAAAAAAAAAAAGAAAAAAATTTGGGATTACGTATAATATTACTTTATTGGAGAATGTGTGGTTGATAAGAAGAGAAAAACGTGAATTGTGATTTAAATGGGGGTTCAAACAGAGCTTTGCTGGGACATGTTCTGCTTCATTTGAGGAATGTTGGTTAAATTGGCCTTGAATCTACCGCTAGGCACCTTCGTTTTTGCATAGTATAATTCCATACTGTATAGAATATAGCCCGCAAGTTCTATCTCAAGAACTTCTTAACTTAGCCTTTGTTTGGTGGGGATTAAAATTAGATTTTTAGTAAATTTTGATGAAGTTGTTGAAATGTAGTTGAAAAGTTGTGGGTTTAATAAAATGTTAATATAATTAAATGTTGATTCTGATTTAAATTTTAATTTGGATTTTTTTCCAGCTGAAACATGATTAAATTATTCTCAAATAAATAATATTAGATAAAAATAAATAAATTGTACAATCGATTCTTTCTATGTGACTTAACAATCCCTTTTCCCATAAATTTCTTCGTACGAGAAACTCTTCCCTCTTTAGGGGAGCATTAGTTGCTAATTTTTATAAATTGTTACACCCTATAAAATTGTGTTATATTACATAATCAATTGTCCTAATAGAAATGGTAAAATGAAGTTTCATAGAATTGTTATGAATTCACTTTAAAATGTTTTCACGCTTTTATGATCCGTGACATATAGTAAATTTATACGTAACGCCAGCATTCAAAATTTAAATTTGGTGATTCAAGTTGATTGTAATTGAAGTTCATGACCTCATATTAGACAAATTAAAATGTAGAGACCCAATTGAACTCTTTCTGAAAGTTCAAGGATCGAAGATAAAATATACCTCCACTTTGTCCATCTTCCTCTCACCGACTAAATTTAACCAATGCTCACTGAACTTTAAACTTGATTACTATTTGCTCACTTATCTTTCACGGGTTACTGAATGTTTATTCATCTTTCCATATAGTTACTTATCCACTATTTGTCTCTTCAAATAATTAGATGACTTTTGAGGCAACCTTTCGACAACTTCCGACCACCAAGAATGTATAATTTTGCTATCGTTGGAAAGCTTACGATATCCTCTTCAATTACCACCCAAAATCTTCCTATAATTCCAAGGAATTCGATGGGAAAATTGCCTTAAAGGTCGTCCAAAAATTCTGAAAATCTACCCAGATTTTCAGATTTTTTGGACGACTTTTAAGGCAATTTTTCGGCAACTTCAGACCATGAAAATTGTTGAATTTTGATATCGTTGGAAAGTCCACAATATCCTCTTCAATTACTGTTCAAAATTTCTCCATAACTCCAAAGGATTCGATTGGAATAAACCCATAAAGTCTATGGGAAAATTTTGGATAGTAATTGAAGAAGACATTGTGGACTTTTCAACGGTATCAAAATCCGGCAATTTTGATGGTCGAAAATTATCGAAAAATTGCCTTAAAAGTCGTCCAAAAATTCTAAAAATCTGCCTAGATTTTCAAAATTTTTGGACGATTTTTAAGGCAATTTTCCTATCGAATCCCTTGGAATTATAGGGAGATTTTGGGTGGTAATTGAAGAGGACATCGTGGGCTTTTCAACGATATCAAAATTCGACATTCTTGGTGGTCGGAAGTTGTCGAAAAGTTGTCGCAAAAGTTACCCAATTATTTGAAGAGACGAGTGGTATATAAATAACTATATAAAAAGATGAGTGAGCATTTAGTAAACTGTGAAAGATGAGTAAGCAAGTAGTAACCAAATTGAAATTTCAGTGGCCATTGGTTAAATTTACTCCCCCTACCTCTCTCTAAACCCTAACCTTTCAAATCGACATCTTTCCAAATTTTATCCCATCTGCAATACAGAAATGGCGAGAAAATCGTTTATATCATTAATCTTCTTCTTATTCTCATTATCATCCGCAAAACCCACAGAATCAGATTCTCAATCCTCCCCATCATCTTCAATATACGACGTGCTGGAATCCCATGGACTCCCAATTGGCATTTTCCCTAAGGGCGTGTCCAATTTCACCCTCGACCCCGCCTCCGGCAATTTCCAGCTCAATTTGTTGTCCCCTGTCCCGTGCGACACGAAATTCGAGACCACGGTTCGGTATGAATGTGAAATTAAAGGAACAATTGCGTATGGACAGATTGCTAATTTGTCGGGCTTAGCGGCACAGGAATTGTTTCTTTGGCTGCCTGTTAAGAGCATACGAGTGGATGTACCTAGTTCTGGTTTGATTTATTTTGATGTCGGGGTGGTGTATAAGCAATTCTCTTTGTCGTTTTTCGAGACGCCTAAGGATTGTAATGTGTTGAAGAAGGGAGATATAGGGAATTCAATTGATTTGTTTGATCACAGCAGGCGAATTGATGAGGTTGGTAAATTTTAATCTTTTTTATTTTTGTTTTTAATTGTTTGTATTTTCAATCTTTTAGTTAATTTGTTATTTCAAATGGAGAAAGACGAAGTATAGTTCGTGGGTTTTTGGCATATTGTCTCTCTCCCTCTCTCTAAATTAGCTTGAATTTACTCTTTGCGTGTAATCATGGATTGTAGTTTTTATTGCCAGTTGAATTGAGGTTTAATTTGAATTTTTAGGGATATTATGTCACGTGATCCTTTTCCATTTGTCCTTAATCTTATGAAGTTTCACTTGCATAATTCACATCTTATACATGATGAGGTGCATTCTATATTTTATAAAGAATGTACCTATCAAAAAAAAGAATGTAAAGATTGAGTAAATCCTCATGCATATTTTTGCTAATAAATTTTTTGTCCATTGTGGTTGATATCAACTTATGAACCCTGCCTTGTTCTCTTTCATCACCTCTCACCACAGCTCATTTTCAGAATTCAGAAAACCTTCATACACCATTTCTCAAAGTAGGCTTAAAGTAAACACGAGATGCCTTCTAGTTTTTAGTCCTACAATTGCTGCAAACTGTGAATAATTCTGTATTTGAAAACAACACATAAATTTAGTGGGCAAATTAGCCCCCGTTTGGCCCCCATTAAATTAAATTTCATCTTTCTCTCTCCTGAAAAACCATTCCACCCATTTTAATTTGGAAAAATGGGGGCCAAGCAGGTGCTTAGTATGAATGATGAAATCACAGATAAAGATTAGCAATTAAAATCCCTTCCAATTGAAAATACCCATTAAATTTTGATGAAGCACAAATTACATGTCTATTCAAAAAAAAATAGTTGCATAAACTGACCCAGAAATACTAGACGCCTGTTGGCACTTTCTTATATTCAATGATTGTCTCCAACTTATTTCTCCTTAAAAAATTTTGGGAGACGCACATATATATATATATATATATATATATATATATATATATATATATAGCTTATTTGTTATGCACATGTGCGTCTCCCAAAATTTTTTAAGGAGAAATAAGTTGGAGACAATCATTGAATATAAGAAAGTGCCAACAGGCGTCTAGTATTTCTGGGTCAGTTTATGCAACTATTTTTTTATGAATAGACATGTAATTTGTGCTTCATCAAAATTTAATGGGTATTTTCAATTGGAAGGGATTTTAATTGCTAATCTTTATCTGTGATTTCATCATTCATACTAAGCACCTGCTTGGCCCCCATTTTTCCAAATTAAAATGGGTGGAATGGTTTTTCAGGAGAGAGAAAGATGAAATTTAATTTAATGGGGGCCAAACGGGGGCTAATTTGCCCACTAAATTTATGTGTTGTTTTCAAATACAGAATTATTCACAGTTTGCAGCAATTGTAGGACTAAAAACTAGAAGGCATCTCGTGTTTACTTTAAGCCTACTTTGAGAAATGGTGTATGAAGGTTTTCTGAATTCTGAAAATGAGCTGTGGTGAGAGGTGATGAAAGAGAATAAGGCTTTGTAGAGGGACAGTGGAGGACCATGGAGATTACAGTCTGTCATCCATCTGTAATAGTTTAAAAGTTTGTTTGGAGTTGGATCTTCTTAAACCTTCATAAAATTTAGGAATAAGAATATACTGGATTTTGGGGAAGAATATTTTCTCTGGAATATAAGCAATCTAAATTTCAGATGTGCATGTGTTGACCTGAACATAGATTATATGTTGTTGAGGTATTTAGGCTGTAACTTGGCACTGGCAGGCTCAGTTTTGAATTTTTCTGAGTATGAAATTGCATTTTTATATTTTATAACAAAGAAATTAATGATGACGAGTAAAGTGAATTTTTAAATTGGGTGACATGCTTGAAACAACGAATAGTGTGAGAAATCTTTGGTCAAGTGACCAGAAATATTTCCACTGCCATGAACAGTAAACCCAATGTCTTAATTCTTGAGAAGTTTGTAACTTTTAGATCTGGAACACTAATATATTCGGTTCCTGATGTATTGCTTGGTGAGAAAAATAACTGAGAGTTTGTAAGGAGTGAAAATATGTGATAATAATTATAGAACATTGAGATTTTATAGCTTATAAATAATTTGGAGTTCCAGTACTTCTTTATTGATGACTTATTAGATGATATGTAAATGGATTGTGATAGCTATAAAAAATAGTACAATTGGAATCTGATACGATCTATATTTGTATATTGTCTACATCCTATTGGCACTTTGGCACCATTGGCTTATGTCTGTACTTATTAATGAGAGCACGAGACAGTTTGCTTTTTTCAATTAGGGAAAAATAGTTAATTTAAATACGTTTAAATAAGACATGCAGATATGCGAGTTGAAGTTGGTTAAAACATTTTGTATGGCAAGTGGCCTGCTTGTTCACTACTGTGGAAATTGAGGCGGCTTACTATCTTAGAATTTTGCGGGTAGGGAAGAGGTGATACCTTCTGGCTTAATGAAGCATGTTCCTTCACATTTAATCAAATGGGAAGAAAATCCGTGCTTTTGTGAAATACAATTATATGTTATGTGATATTTGTAATGGAATGTTTAGGAGATAATCAGACTAAAAGGAATCAAGCGGGGCCTCAGTTTTTTTATTTGTACAAATACTTTTACTTTCAAAAACTTATCTGCAGTGTGCAATGTGTGAAAGAGATGGAGGAATAAAAAACTGGCACTTGTGTGCAAAAGAACAGTAGCGGGTCAATAGGTATATCACTTGAGCTGATAGATTATTGTTAAATCATTCGAGTTGCACTGATTGATTTTGGAGTCTATAAAAGCTCTTATTTTTACCGTCAAATTGATGTCATTTGTTTATTTTCTCCTTGTGCCTTGACCAACCCGGAAGAGAGAAGGAAGGTACCTACACTCACATGATGCTAAGTTTAATTGCCATTTTATTGCAGAATCAATCTGGAGGGTTTGTCAGAAAACACTTTGGGGACTATACACGGAGGGCTGTTGCATGAATTATAGAGGCGAACACGAGTGGATCCAATGATGCGAAGAAGTGACATTTTATACACTTGATTGCTCGCTTACACCTTCGGATATGTACCCTAAGCTTCCTCTATATGCAGAGCAAGATTTCAGTTTTGTAGATGACAGGGAGAACAAGCGGAGAACAAGCTAACGAGAACTAGTTTTACCTTTTGGTGAATCGGTGGTAAGGTTTAATTGTTGAGGATTTGTGTTGTGTAAGTATCTGAAGATAAATGTGAGTTCTTGTTAAGATGTTTAAATGCATGTATAATGTTGTATGGAGTTTATGTTAATCAATAGAACATGTCGATCCTTGTAGGGTGAACAATAAAACTGCTAATCGCAAACACGATGATGCGGTGTTGAAACCATTGGTTTGGTGGACCTGTCAACATTGTGGTTCAAAACAGAATCAAGTCATTAGGAAATTGTTTGGTTTAGGTTTCGATTTTTGAAAACTCTAGAAATCAACAGAATTGTTCACTTATTTATTAGTTTAATATACTTCAACAAATTTAATAATCGTTAAGAGAGTTTTAATGGAATTTTTGGAAAATAATAATTTGTAAGAATATTTTCTTGTCTTTTGAAGTAGAATGAATTTGAAAACATAAATTTTATGGTTGAATATGTTGATTTATTGATTCAAGCTTATATAGAGATAAATATATTTATATTGTAATGTTTATGTTTAGTAGGTTTTACATTGTGTTGTGTTGAGATTTTACATCCAAATATTTAGTTCTCGTTTGGTATCAATTTTTCACCAAAAAATCAATTTTTTGATCGTTATTTTACGATTTTTGTCGTTATTTTTGATTTTTTCACTCACAAGTGGGGCCTTTTTTTTATTTGTAATGGTAAAAAAATCAATTCTTATAATCACTATCGAATATATATATATATATATATATTTTTTTTTTTTTACAGCCCTTGTCTGAGCGTAATTTTATCCCAACATAATTGATTTTTCCATTACATCAGTGGCCCCCACCTGCAATCTTGAAAAGCAGCTTTCAAGGTACAAATTGTGGAAAGGATTAAGAATAATTCTCCCTTTCCCCAACCCGGAACAGGGAGCAGGGCTCAAGGACTAACCCCATTTTTAAAGTATGTGCATTGTCTGAAAGGAAAGTAGTAAAATGGTACAAATGACAATGCAGAGTGAAAAATCAAGAGGAAATGGCACCCACGTCACCTTTTGAATTGTCATTTTACTCTTAGGCAATTTTCAACACTGCATCAAAATTTACACAATTTTATATCGAATTTTGTATCAAATAACAATTTTTCTCCAATTATTACACAAAATGAACAATGCTTTATTATTTTATTCATTCTTCCGATTTTTGTCAATATATTTATTTAAAAAAATCATCTATTTATTTTATAACTATATAAATTATTAAATTATAACTTCGTTAAATTAACAAATATATTGATTACTAAATTATTCACGTATTTTATATATTATGTTAAATTGACAAAAATAATTGATTATATTATTAATTTATGATAAATAATTACGTTAAATTTACAAAAATAATAAACTTCAATAATATAAACTTTACGTTAAATTAAATGTAAACTTTACGAATTAAACTTTACGTTAAATTAGCAATTACGTTAATTATTATTGATTATATTATTAAAAATAATAAATTTTAATAATATAATTAATAGTGTAATAATAATAATAATAATCATCATCATTATTATTATAGAATGAAAATGAAACAAATACCCTTAATCATTATTTTTGAAAAATGAAAAATAAGAGCAAAATGGGCATTGCACCATTTGGTGCAAAAAATAGTGGTGCAACACTATTCACTTGCACCATTTTGCACCAAAATGGTGCAAAGTTTGGTGTTGCATTGGAGTAACTTTGCACAAAAAAAGGGTGCAAATGGTGCAATGGTGTTAGCATTGGAGTTGCCCTTAATAATTTTTGCAAGAATGTCATTTTTTGTAAGACAACTTAGTTAAACGTGATTTGACTAGATATAAAAATTGGACAAAAAGTAGAAAATATCACTTCAACCACTCATCCTCACTCTACGGGGGTGCTCTGTTCCCCGATTCGGGAAAAGTTCAAATTCAGGATTTTAATATTTTATATACTTGTTGACAGTGTAACTTGCAGCTTTTCGTTTTTATCTTTTTCAGTCACCCCCTCCCACTCGCCACCCCCTCGCCATTTACTTTTCACCAAAATTTGCTCATTTCAATTACTTCAACTCCACTCTTTTTGTCAGGTTAGTTGCATATATTTTTTGCGTGTACAGTACATACATATATATATATATATATATATATTTGTGCAACAAAATAATATATATACTTTCATTGTTTTTTTCATGAATTATAGTAAGGGCCCGTATGATTGAAAAGATGGAATTGAATGGAATTGAAAACGAATTATAGGGAATTGAATTGATGGGAAATTATTTTCCTGAGAATTGTAAATTTTGTGTTTGATTGGTATAATTTTTCACGTGAAAAATGTTAAAATGAACGTATTTTTTTGTGTTCGTTTGACTTTGTTTTATCTGAAAATTTTCAATTAAAGGAATAGAATTTACGTGTATTGGTGATAAAATTTGTTTCTATCACCAAAAAAAAAAAAAATTCAAGAAAATCATCTATCTTTTAGTATTCGTTTGACTTTGTTTTACATGAAAATTATCAATTGGAGGAAAATATTTTTTTTTACAATAATTCTTAGAATTGGTTTCCATTGCCAAAAAAAAAAAAAAGAAAAAAAAATATATTAGCCATAGTAGCCGAGAAAATCAATTTCCACCCAAATATACTGTATCAAACACTACAAAATGGGTGGAAAACCATTTCCATGGAAAATGGCCCTTCAAACAGGGCCTAAATTTTGCATCCATTGTTTGAATTATCAAATAAAAAATTATTTGTTAGACAATGCATTTTGGAACCATGTTCAAGCATAGTAAGTTACGATAATACAAGGATATTAGAGTTAAACAAACCGATAAACAAACATGTTAAATGGTACACAACACAATAAAACTACATCTATGGGAATTGATAGTGACTGTGAAAAAAATCCGGGGCCGCTTCAAAGTTGCTGCTGTCTGTAATCGTGTAGCCGTCCTCTGGCGCATGGTATAAGTATTGTGAGTCCGACACATGATCTGATGCATGGTATGAGTACGGGGGGACTTGCACATTCTGCGAGTATTGTGGTTGATATGTATTGTCCAATCTGATAAATCAAATTATTATCCGGCATGAAACAAATGGACCAAATATTAATGAAAACAAGGAGTAAAGAAACAATTAACATTGACTAACCTATTTTGCACCATAGGACAAGTTCTTCTGTCGTGATCGCTCGTGTGACATGCACCGCATTGTCTATTATTGGATTGGGAAAGTGTTTTCTCCGTTCCACCCTTTAGTCGCTTCCCACTTCCTTTTGCTCTAACAGGATTAGGATCACAAATAGCTTGGGTCTCTTCTCGACTTTGACTTCTATTTCTGCTCATGCCGACATCCCCCTATTGTCAATCTCTTTGAGCCGTATGCGCAAACTTTGGAACTCATTCAACAGAAAAGTGCTCCGAACATCTGTTAAAACTGCATCGTCAACTAGATATGAAGCTTCATGAGACAATATCCCATGTCGGGACATTAACGATTGACCAAAACCATCATCAACATATGGACCAGTAGTTGGATCGAACACTCTGGCTTGCTTAGCATTTTTTGCCCACCTACAAAGAATATATTTCTCTGGCAAGAACATCACTTGTTTTTTTTTTCATGTAGCAAATCATGTGTTGGCATGGATAACCCTCAAACTCGAACATTTGACAACTACATGAGATATAGTCAGTGGATGGAAAATAAGTAACTCGGTGATGTCGATCAAATGTTCTGTTTGGCTCAAGACGTTGAATTGCATATACTTTAGCTTCATCAGAACTTGGTATCTTCGAGCACATGTAGAAGTTACTCTGTTCTATTTCCTTTTGAAACAACAAAAATATCTTTTTTGTGTATACCTGCATCATTTGATTCTCCATCATAAAGGTTGATTTCACCCTTGGCTTTTGACTTATGTTGATATGGTTAGCAGCTAACTCCGTGTGCCTCTGATGAACTAATGCCCTGTTAAATCGGGAAACGAAATCCGTCAAAGAGTTTTTTTTGTCCACATATTTCTTCAAGAATGAGTGACCACTCTCTGACCTCTAGCAATTGACCATGCCTGCAGCAAACACGTGTTTGATGTATGTGGGTACCCATCGACTACGTATCTCATACATATTGCTCAACCATTCATTGTTACCTAACTCTATGGTTTCCATCACCTTGGTCCATCGTTGTTCAAACTCCTTCGGCGACTCAGATTATTTAATGATGCCAACTAGCTTGTGATACTGGTTATTATACAATATGACATTCATCTTTTCAGAAAATTTGTTCAGAATGTGTCATAGACAAAAACGATGCAATGTAGATGGCAATACCATAGAGATAGCTCTTGCAATTGTAACATCCTAGTCTGTTATGATCACCCCTGGGGCCGTGTGGTTTGGCATGGCTTCAATGAACTTAGTAAATAACCAAACAAATGATTTCGTCGTCTCATTGCTCAATAAACCACACCCAAATATAATGGTTTGGCCATGGTGGTTAACTCCGACAAATGGACTAAACACCATTGAGTACCTATTCGTGTTGTAGGTTGTGTCAAATACCACGACATCGCCAAAGTAGGCATATGACCTTCTTGACTCACAGTCAGCCCAAAAACATCGCACAAGCTTATTATCGTCATCAATCTCATAATCGAAGATAAAGTTCGGGTTCTTCTCTTTCTCGAAGGCAAAATACTCAATCAGATTTTCGGCATCATGGCCCAGCAACTCTTGTCACATATCTCTTTCATAGTTCCTGATATCCTTTTCTACACACCCAAGAGAGGATGGACCTCCCATGTCTATCTCCATAAATCGAACTTGTTGACAAGTGGGAATATTGGCTTTTGAAAATTGTTGGATAAGAGCCTTCTTTGTTTTCGAGACACCCCGATGTGATCTTAACAAGTGTACCCTACTAGAAGTGGTAAGTGGATGGTTATGTTGCTCTACAAATTTCCTAACAATCCACCTTTGCCCTATTTGTTGCTTCACCACCGATAGTCCACATCGCACATGTCCACGGTTTCTTTCCGTAACCCGTGGTACAGCATCTTTATGGCTCATCTGGTAGGTCTCGTTCGTGATGCCCTCTTTGTAACACACAAATAGTTTCCAGAAATACTCATTGGTCTCTTTTTTCTTTTTACAATTTTGTATTCCCGTACTAAACCCCGCTTTCCGAGCATATTGATTGTAAAAACTGTATGCCTCATCAAATGATTCGAATTCCTGTCGAACATGAGGGATGACACTGATAGTCACGTGAGGAACAAATACATTATCATTGTTATCACTCTCAGATTCCATTCCTACTAAATTACACGATATAATATACAAC